CATAGTTTCTTCTTTGCGCTTAGAAAGGGAGGGTGAAGCCAGGGAGTTGAAATATGCAACTGCACTGCTAGATGCCACTAAATCCTACACACTGGGCTTTTTAATGGAGAGATACAGTAGTGGAATCAATCGTGGCAAAAAAGCAAAGAAGCATATTTCCCTAAGTGTCAAACTATTATTTTAAAGTCCAATGTACATAAGTCAGTCTTTATAAAAGTAAAAGTTCTCATTATTATTATAATCATAATCATTATTATAATTATTATTATTATTATGGACCAACATAGGTCTACTGTGGAAGTAGTGTGTATGGCATAGAACCCCATAATTGTCATACAATAGCGCATTCTGCACACTGGCTCACTGGGACTCCAGTCCACCAGCTCACCTGACAAACTCACTTGTCGACATAGAACAGTTGACTAATCAATGTCCATCAGCAGTCAATAAGACATGTCTGCTTCTGACAGGAAATCAGCTCCATAAATACATGTTCCCTTTCAGGAAATTGACAAAGAAACATTGATCAGTGTAATCTAGAGTTTATCCATGTCCCTGTGCATATTATTTTCTTACACAGGAATTAAATGAGTAAAACCTGCATGTGGAGACTGATGTGAAACTTCAGTCAGGAGCTTCAACAATGGCTACAATGTTGAGTGGCAGTATGAATTCTTTGTAGCCCTTCTGAGACCATCTTAATGGTCTGATAACATTCTTTATTATAAAGCTTTTCAAGAGATGAAAAGCATTATTGTCACTCATGACATTTTTTCTCCTAAGCACACATTACTGATGCGTTATGTAACCATAATGTGTGGAATATTTTTCAAATTGCATGTGGTTCTTTTTAATGTATGTATAAAGCACTCACTACATTAAGTACAGATTAAATGGATCAGGTATTCTATGTGGTTATGAACCTCATACAAAGAGTGAAAAACCTCCAAAGTAACGATGTGAGCTTGACTGATGAAACCCACAATAAAGAATAAAATTATTACTGGTGTCCTCGTTGAATAAGACACAATATCTGCATTTGGAAAACAGAAAAAGGAGCTTGAATTTCCATTTTGTTGCACAGCACTTTCAAACAATGAGGAAAAAATGTTGTACAGATAAATGTCTGTTAACTGTTTTCTATATTACCATTTGATTGACACCAGCAGCACTGATTGATTATGATGTCACCACAACTAATTCAACTAATGGCCAGTTCTTGAGAGGGTTTACATTTGTTGTTCTAAATACCATCATAATAAATATGATGTATGAGAGAAATCCCTGTTGTGCTGAGGAAGTGATGTCCTTTCACATTCACAGAGGCACAACAGCACATTTTATTTTATGAGTGTACAAAAGTGGAAGAAATGTAACAATTTGCAGTTAATGGATGCAGTCTGGATTAGTTTTGGGACTGTCCCTACACAGTGAAGCACAAAACACAAAAGCATAGAATGTATATTAACAAAGTCGCTGCCAAAATTGATTAAAAAAAAAAACATAAATTCAACTTGAGTACATTTCTTTTCAATGTGCACTGTATGGTCAAAAATCAACTTTACTATTCAACAGCATGCCAAAGTAAGTGAAATAATGTGTTGAAAAAAATAACTACGAAATATACAAACAGTAGCTGCAGTCTTTGTACTTTCCTTACATTCAACTGAATACCAGTGTTCCATGATAGACACTTCCTCTGAGATCTTCACCTATTCATTCATTATCAGCACAGTATTTCTGTCAAGCTTTTCATTTTTCCATGATTCAGATTGTTTAATGATAACAATGACATATTCACCATCAAAATTCTTAGTATTATTTGAAACTATGACTCAGTGACTTCATAGATGGGTTAACAAATGCAGGTAAAATGTGCACTTGATGACTTTATTCATGCTTTTGTTCTACAAAACTGAGGCTAAAGCCACACCAGTTGATGGTCCATACAGAAGAGATGTAAATAAAGGAACAGGATTGTTCCCATTAGGTATTGTAGAGCTAGCCCTAATATTAGGGGTTAGATTTATGCTTTACAGTTAGTCAGACATGCTAACATTTGAAGCTTACATTAGAGCAGATTTTGGATTTTGAAAGGTAATTAAAAAAAGACAGCAAACTCTTTAGCTGCTGACTACGCTCTAGCACACAGCTTCAACATGTGGAGAAAACTAAAGCTTAACAGGCCTACTGACCCCAGTTACAGTTGCTAAACTATAATTAGAGAGTTGCTGTTTGGGTGAGGAGTTGTGCAAATGGTCCATTTTGTGATGCACTTACAAAACAGATATGTAAAGTTAAATCTCATAACATTCAATGGATATCACATTTTATAAATAGATCACATAGGCAGTACTTGTGCATTACATGCCACATATGAGATGAAAAGCCAAGACAGGCACTAAAGAAGGCGGGGGTCACGACCATTCAAATTAGTTTATAATAGTTCACACTTCTATATGTTGTCACCACTAATGCACTGTGGAACTGCACAGAATGTGTGCTTGTTGGTATTTCAGCAGCGCCTTTGTCCCTTACATTGAAATGTAGATGGTTAGTGCCTTGGTGAAGGCCATGAGTAAATGGATGTGTACATTCAACATCATCCATGGTTCTCGTCTCTATGTGACTGAACCTCCTCCCTAAAAGGTCACCTCTGCCTCTCCTCAGCCTTTTCTCTGCCCAGTAACCACAATACTACCCACAAATGACACATGACATAATGGGAAACTGTAGCGAGAATGGAAATTATACTGAACTTTTCAATAGCATCCAGCCAGCTCTACGTGCATTTCTGCAAATTTATAGATTTTCCCCAGTTTTTGAAATTGCTTACCCACCGCAATTGTCCCTTTTTAGGGGAAGATCAAAAGAAAATAAAAAAGGCTGCTTCTTTGATTTGTAGGGCTTTTCAGTGGTTGTTTCTGGATGTTGTCCATTAAAATGAGTCCATGAGAGAAACTGTCTGTCATCACTGACGGCTCTCACCATGAGGCCTTGTGGGGATTAGCTCCAGAGTGCTGAGAGGGTCAGAACAGTACGCATCAAGTCTGCAATTATTTGGCTAAAATAAACATCTTTTTCACAGAGTTGCACAGTTTTCTGCAGTGCTGATTGAATTTAAAATAATAGGCTTCTCAGAAACATGACAGCTGAGAGTAAAGGTCTATCTATGGTATGAATTTTTGCTAAGAAGTTAGTATATGCCCTTGGTGCTTGTTTTGACTTTTTTGGTTGATATTGTTGTTAACAAATACTTATTAACATGAAACGTTTCTGCAGTGACTGCACCCCCATTGTATTTTTGGTATATTGTATCTGGTACAATATTTGTGTGGATGGGCACAAAAATAGTGTTATCACTTCAACCCTCTCATTTAACCAACTGGGTGGCCAACAGTGTTAGCCATTGCTTAGTCCACCACAATCAGCTAACTGGCCTAGCTTGCTAGCCTCAGAGACAGCTTAAATTACTAAAAGATTGCTAGCCAGCGCTATGTGGGCTTGTTGAAAAGGAGGGGAAATGCTTTGTATCAAAGCTTGTAGGTGGTAAATGCTCCATTAAATACATTTGGGGTTTCTTGTGGCCACAGTGGCAGCTGATTAGGAAATGTTACATAGTGTTGCTTTAAAGGTGGCAGTTAGGACCCCCATCCTGCCATCTCATTCTAATTATCTCTGCATAACACACAGTCCAGATGCAGTTGCACTTCATGATATAATTACAAACTGGTATCGGAAAGGAGAGGGGTTATTTATGCATATTGACTCTTGTAATTATGAGTTATTGAAAGCAGAGTCTGCACATGAAGCGGTAAAACAGGGCAGTTGTAGATAAGGAGTCCTCATGCAGCAACCAGCATCTCTACGAATGATAATGAATGATAGCAACAAACATGTGGTTAACATAAAAACATTGCAACTGTCCCTCCCCATGGTTCTAGTGAGAACTACACATATTCTAAGGCAGAGTTTTCCATTGAGAAATGTTGCTGGTGTAAAAAAAAAAAAAAAAAAAAAAAAAAAAGATGATTGAAATAGATTTTTAGGTTTTGAGTGTATTAGGAATTAATGATACAAATGTCTGGGGGAATTAAAAGCTCGTTGGATGAAGCCAAGTGTGGCTATCCATTTGGAGGAGTCAGCCAGGTGTGAGGGCTGTTAAGACGTTCACAGATGCGTGCTGATTTCGTCAGCCAGCTCTGACGAGTCTAACACCTGCGGCTTGTGGAATATTTTTTCGAAACTGCATTATCTTTTGCCAAAACGGTGCAGACATGATGGGAAAGAGAACAAATAAGACAAAGGAATAGACATACAGATACAGAAAGAATCACTCTCAGACCAGAACTCTTGGACCAGAACTTTAATACTGCACCTCTCTCACATTTACATTGGAAAGATGATGCAGCACTCCAATGAAGAACACATCCATTGTCTATGCAGTGCCCTATACTTGAACTACTTTCCACTGCATGCATAACAGTATATCTCTAATGACAGCTTACTGTATAAGCATGTGCGTCATTAAAAATAGCTTCTTAGCGCTGTTTAATACCAGGCTTCATTCAGAGAATCCTCATGTGATTTCTCACACCTTCTTTGCATTGCTAAAGACATGCATATCAATGTTATGATGGAGAATATTCATGTGAAAAATCAAGGATGACAATTAGACCAGCTCATCAAGTGAGCAACCTTTGCCTGCATGGTCCAAGGACAATGGTGGAATTTTATCTGACCCATGTTAATGGGTGCTACTGCAGACACACACAACTGCAGCTGTTTCTTTGTTTTGTGGATGAGGTTTTTCATCAAGATGAGGATCATCTTATTTTAATGTAAATTTAATTAGATATCGAAAAATAAAATTATCCTCCAGCTTAGTGCAACTCAATATTGTCTGACACAAGCAACCAAAAATAATGGTAATACTGTACCTCAGCTGATCATCATCTCAAATTTAGACTGATAACTTTTTGTTTGTTTGTTTTTTGCAGGTCCCCTTTCTAGGAACTAACATGGACAAAGTGGTCATCAGTCTCCTGCTTCTGGGAACCGCAGTTACGATGGTCCATGCATGTCCCAAATACTGTGTCTGCCAGAACCTCTCAGAGTCTCTGGGCACTCTGTGCCCCTCCAAAGGCCTGCTCTTTGTACCACCAGACATCGACCGGCGAACTGTGGAGCTCCGGCTGGGCGGCAACTTCATCCTCAAGATCACCACTCAGGACTTTGCCAATATGACAGGTCTGGTAGATCTCACCTTGTCCCGCAACACCATCAGCACCATTCAGCCTTTCTCTTTCATCGACCTGGAGACCCTGAGATCACTGCACCTCGACAGTAACCGGTTGACTGAGCTGGGACCGGATGACCTTCGAGGGCTAGTCAACCTGCAGCACTTGATCCTCAACAACAATCAACTGAGTCGGATCTCCAAAGAAACCTTTGATGACTTGTTACTGACGCTGGAGGATCTGGATTTGTCATATAACAACTTACGCAGTGTGCCTTGGGAAGCCATCCGCAAGATGGTTAACCTCCATCAGATGAGTCTGGATCACAACCTCATCTACTTTATTTCTGAGGGGACTTTCACAGATCTGGATAAACTGGCCCGCTTGGACCTCACCTCCAACCGTCTCCAGAAGCTCCCTCCGGACCCCATCTTTGCTCGCTCCCAGAGCAATGTAGTAATGAGCACTCCTTATGCACCTCCACTCTCCCTAAGCTTTGGTGGAAACCCATTGCACTGCAACTGTGAAGTGCTTTGGCTTCGAAGGCTGGAGCGTGAGGATGATATGGAAACCTGTGCTTCTCCTACTAGCCTAAAAGGGCGCTACTTTTGGTCTGTTCGTGAGGAGGAGTTTGTTTGTGAGCCACCTCTAATTACACAACATACACACAAGTTACTAGTGCTGGAAGGCCAAACAGCAAGCCTGCGCTGCAAAGCTGTTGGTGATCCAATGCCAACTGTACATTGGGTTGCTCCTGATGACCGTTTGATCAGCAACTCCTCCCGAGCAACGGTATACGAAAATGGCACCTTGGACATTACAATCACCACATCTAAGGATTACGGGACCTTTACTTGCATAGCTGCCAATGCTGCTGGAGAATCTACAGCGTCCATTGAGTTGTCAATCATTCAACTCCCCCATCTGAGTAATGGCACAAACCGTACCACACAGTCCAAATCGGGGCTTTCGGACATAACTAGCTCTACCAAGATCAGTAAAGGGGAGTCTAAACCTCTTCCAGAGAAGGTGGTGTCTGTATCAGAGGTGACTGCTGTCTCTGCTCTGGTCAAGTGGACTGTTAGCAAATCAACTCCAAAGGTCAAAATGTATCAGCTTCAGTACAATTGTTCTGAGGATGAGGTCCTCATTTACAGGTAAGAACGATTAATGAAACTCAATTTCATCCAAGTAGGAGCGAGACCTTTGTGGTCAAAGTGGTAAATTAAGCCTGAGGTATAATCTTTAACTTCAGAATAGTCACTGCTCAGCGCCTTGAGTCGATTGCTAATTGTTTGCTGGGTGAGTACTTGAGAAAGTCAATTTCTTTAAGTGTTACTCGGAGATCAACATGAATTTTCATTAATCCTTCTTGAGATTTTTCTTTTTTCCTTAAATTGACAATTGCTTACACCAAAAGAATGAATAGTGAGTGCACATTTTTAAGAAAAATGAAACTCAAAGTGAAATCCTTGCCCTGAACCATTAATTAGAAATCCAAGAAGAAAAAGGATTATAGACCCTCATTTTAATGTATCCTTCTTAAGCTGCTCAAGTCCATAAAGTGTAAGCTTGGAGACTGCAGCTGGAGATCTTTGGGCTCTGTGAAATCAATTTCCCATGTCAAATGCGACAGTGAAAGTAGTTACATTCACCCAAGATAACTGAGCTGGAAATATATAAAAGAGCCTCACCATTTAACATTAAATAAGTTTGGGGAAGACATGGACAAACACCTAATATACTGGGCTGTGTTGTAAGATCAAACACAGAGATCCATTTTTATGAGTTCTGTATGGGAAACTATAGGATATATTTTATCTGACAGCTTATTTTCCGGCATTTGCCATACACATATCACACTCTTTTCAAGTTCAGCATCCCCTTAGGCTCCAATGACTCAATAGACTTTAACACAACCACCCTAACAGAGAATGACTACCCTTATGCTAAAGATAATATTTACTACATCAGAATAGTGTAACAATTGGTAAAGTGGCCTGTTGTGGATAGCAGATACAGCAGTTCTTTGTCAGCTTCCTCTAAGACTGACAGTTGATGGTGAATCCCTTTAGCAACACCTCATTCAATAATTTATTCTGTTCCATAGTCCTACAGGCTTTACCTGTACTGTGCAGCAAGAGCCGTTTAATGAAAGATAATCGACAGAATATGGGAAGGCAAAAAGTCTGGTTATTAACTGGGAATATGAGATTAGAACTGTACACAGTATTGAAGAAAGATATTACTTTGTTCAAACACTGTGAATGCAACTCACCATCCTTGCGAATTCAATAATAAGGTGTTTATCTGATTTCCTTGCTTGCACACTCTGTGCCAGAGAAAAAAGAACAATATGAATTTTCAATACCTTGTTTTTACATTGATGGAAACAATGGGTGACTCATCCGCATTTCTGGAAAATTCCTTTATGAATTTTCTCTAATGTCTATAAAATTGCAAACATAACACTGATGCATGCTTTATAATCTTAGCATTTCTCCTTCATTCATTGATTTGCAGCAGCAAAATAATTTCCCTGAAAAGCTATTATTTTAATGGAATTCCTGATACAGTGTTAAGTGTTAAGTTAAGAATCGCATCAAACCAACAAACACCTCAACATATACTTTCGATTGTATTGATAGTTTGAGACATAGTGATTTATGATTGTTATATTTTCCAGTTTGACCTCCCTCTCCTGCTTATGGGGGCTAACCTTCAAATTCCCCTGTTTATGTGGTTTGATACTTTAAATTGTTTTTTACTTCATTATCAGTGGACACAGTATGTTTATATACAGAAGGAAAATGACCTACAGCAATATATTTATGTGTTCTTATGTACTAACGGCTGTGCAGTCCTTTTGCATGTCAGAAGACAAATTAGGAGCTGCGAGGAAAAGATAACAAGCACAGAGAGGCCAACTACTCCTTTTGAATTAATATTGATAGGACTTCATTGCTTGCACATGCACACCTACTGTGCTCCTCTACTTGGCTGACACAGTTTCCCAGGGCACTGCCCGCACTCAAGCAATGGCGTGATTAAAAATCAATCAAAGCCATGTGGGGGAGGAGAAAAATTGCATGGCTTCTCTCAAACAAGTGAGTCAACGCAGCTTCTTCCTAGTTATGGAAAAAGGCAATTAAGGATGAATAATGGACTGCAGCCCCACTGGTGTCTGGGCTCTGTGGTGGAGGCGCTTCAGAGGGATCAAAGCTATGGATGCATAAACTCTAGGAAAACAGCAAGCCAACAATGGATGGATGGATGAGCAGCCTATTTATAGATAACTATACAAATATGAATAAGAGTCTTCAAGGGCCATTTTCTACCCATATGGTATACAGTATGTAACAGCTGTCATTGTTACTCCACGTTTATTGCTTAATTAGTATAAATTGCAGTGGTTTCCAACCTTTTTTGTCAGATGTACCCATATCAGATGAGTCAAGTACCCTTCCCTTAACTGATACCACCTGTCATGTCCTAAATGTTTGGTTTGAATTTATGTTTAAACTAATAATTATATAAAAGTGTATATTGATACAATTACTTTATTAATCATACAAGGCATGGTGATCTTAGCCTTGTTGATGCTTAGACTGGGTTTTCAATAGGGATACTACCATTTGCTATGAAGTACACTGAACATGTCAACCACTTAATCATTACCTTTGACTTTCTATTCCAAATTCTCACCTGTATATTTTAGAAGTACCCCTGCAGAACCAGTATCTCTTGCTGGGAATTACTGATATACAGTATTTGGATTACTGTTCAGTGCAGATGTTATAAAATATTAACATGTCCAATTAAAGGTTAACTGATGCTTAGACAGAATAGAATGTTGATACTAGATGATTCTGCAAACCCCAGAATATGTTCAATATCGACATTTTAGAAATGCTCGCTGTCTGCAATATCTGGGTTTAGGGATAAGATCACTATGTGGGTATGTTTAGCATTTGGCAATTAAAGCTCTTGGTTAAAGCTGGATTTAAAGTCAGTGCAAGGGCTTAAAGTGAGTCCTGCTGTAGATTCCTACAACAGGTTTGATTTTTAGTTGCACATTGAATTTCATCTGTTGATATCACCAAGACACGTGTTTGTACAAAATCAGTCCATACCATGCTTAAATTATAACTTGTATAACGTGTTTATACGCTTGCATTTAGCTGGGGATTGAACTAGCAAGCTTCTGATTAGTGGACGACCCCGTTCTACATCCTGAGCCACAGCACTTCTTTGTTTTTACTTGCAGTTTTTTGCGGTGCTTGACTAGTCAAACTACATTTATACATGTGACAGCTCTAGTGTTTCTCTGCAGTCTATATGGATAGATAAGTTTGATGGATAAAAATCACTGGCTGTCTACACAGCACTTATGTTCCTACAGCATTCCATTGATTGGTGATGCATCTTAGAGAATTAACCTACTGCATAATGGACTTTTAATTTCAGTTAAAACCAGTTAATCAGTCATATTAAAACATATGGAACAAAAACAGAGTGAGTTGAAACTTAACTTAATGCATGTTAAATGGAACGTACAAGAAATTACATTTAGCCCAAACAATATTCCAAAAGTTGCCATTGAATACTTATCTCATTACTATTGCTTCATGCATATCAAATGGGATATACTGGGACCAATGAAGTCATCTTTCTGAATTACTCTGTGCATATAAATAGCCACTTAGTCTGTTATGCTGGGGCAGATCAAAGAAAGAGCCAAAATGAAGCATGCTAAGCCAGTGTTGATTTTCACACTAAAGTTCTCTAGCCTTGTCTTGAACTCCCATTGCAAGAGGCACATATTTTTAATATAGTGTCTTTCTGTCTCTCTGTCTTTTTTCAGGATGATTCCCATGATTAACAGAGCCTTCATGGTCACAAATCTTGTCCCAGGGATGCAGTATGACCTGTGTGTCCTGGCCATCTGGGATGACACTGCCACCACCCTCACTGCCACCAACATTGTCGGCTGTGTCCAGTTCATCACCAAGGAGGACTACCCACAGTGTCAGTCTCTTCACAGTGGATTCCTGGGTGGCACCATGATCCTAGTCATTGGTGGCATCATTGTGGCCACGCTCCTTGTGTTCATCATCATCCTCATGGTGAGGTATAAGGTGACCAGTGGCATCCAGACTAATAAATTACCCACTGTGAGCAACACGTACTCACAGACCAATGGGGGGTTAAACAGGTTCAACGGTGCCCCACCACAAGTCAAATCCACAGTGGTGGTCATGCGTGAGGAAATGGTAGAGTTCAAGTGTGGATCCCTCCAGAGCAGTCTGTCTTCATCCTCATCCTCTTCTAACTCATTAGACAGTCAAACAGGAAGAGGGGCTGGCGACCGCTACAGCATGCAGGGAAGCGAATGCAGCACCCTGCCCAGCAGCAAGTTCAGGAGACATGGTGCCAAAGCACGACCAAATCTGGACCACCTTTTAGGGGCCTTCACCTCACTGGAGCTGCGAGGGGTAGCAAGGGACAACCAAGGGGCTTCTGGCCCCTCCACTGCTTCCAATGCTGTGACGACGGTGGCTATGGTACCCCCGTCCGATAAAGAACCCCTGCTTGGGAGGGCCGAGTCCACTACCATGCTGGGACGTCTCCTAGGGCTTCCCCAGGAGGGTAAGCCCAAGAGGAGCCACTCATTTGACATGGGTCATGTGGGTGCCACACAGTGTCGCAGCAACTACCCTCGCAGGATTAGTAACATCTGGACTAAGCGCAGTCTATCTGTGAATGGCATGCTGCTGCAGTACGATGACAGTGAGGATGAGAAGCCCACTTTTGAGAGCTCTGAGTGGGTGATGGAGAGCACAGTCTGAGTGCAGTTGTGGTTCATGGCCAAACATGAAATCTATATCAGGAACTAAAGGAACATGAGTGTAGAGGAAGGGATGCTCGAGCGGGAATCTGCCTTTGGGTATTGCATGAAGTTCATCCATGTGAATACTGTCTAAATAATTATGTAAGAAAAAGACACTCAAATCAATAGATTCCTGGCCATGATCTCAAATCTGACAGTCTCTAACTGTATTTGAAATATTGTTCCCAATTCAAAACAACATGGAATCTTGGATTGTGCAGATGGAATAATTCCCTATCCACAGGGCACGTGAGAATATCTCCGAGAGAAAGGGGGAAAAGAAAGATGAGAAATTCAAAGTGGATTTACTACGTCTTAATCAAAAGAACTGAATGCCAAGAGGATTTGCCTCGACTGTGGTGAACTGTATGTGCATCACAATGTCTTGGACCCTCAGCATGAAATGGGACTACTGCAACAGTAGAGAGAAAGAGCAGAAAAGAGAATAGAAAATTAAAACAAAGTCATTTTTATTTTCATCTGGGTTTTTCTATAATTTTTACTATTTATTATTTGAGGTGATCCATCAGCAGGCAGAGGCACGGCTCTTCAGTGAGGTTATATTTGTTAGTAATCAAAAAACACAGATGATATCCATTCACATACAGCCATTTCACATGATCCGGCAGTACTTTCAGTCAATACTTCAACCAATCACAAATTGAAAACATGGTTATTTTACAGCATGGACCTATGGTCAAGATATCGGGAACACTAAACCACAACAAGCCAGTCTTGTATTTCTACCTCAGGTAATGTATCATATGAGGTTATATATATATATATATATGAAAGCAAATGGAAATACAACAAAACCCAAATGCACAAGATGGATCACAAACAGCTCAAAACAGCTCTGTACTTGTTTGCAAATGCTTCAAAGCATTATTTAGTCTCAAACCAATCCAATTCAGCTCAGGTTGAATTCCTGCTGTGACAAAACATCTTTTTGAATGCTCTGATACTCTCCCCATTGGGTAACACTGGTGACAGTGGTCCCTGGAGGCTAAAAGGCCATTGATGTAAACAAAGCGTCTGCCTCAGGGTACGGTTTCAGATGCTATCAGCACACATTACAGTCGCCATAGGGTGATAGTGTTTGAAATCCATCATGCCCACTTAATCATTTGCTTAATCCCACAGCAGGATGTATTACTCGGCTGTAATTCTCTTTAACAGAGAGTAAGACAATTACTCATTTAGCCAGGTTAAATGGCGGAATGAGTCCAAATTGAAGTTTATTAGCTTGATAAAGGTCATTATGCTATTTAGGAGAGAACATTAAGTGGAGAGAATGGCAGAAAGATAACTTTCTAAGGGCCAAACTGCTGAAAAATCTCTGGAAATCTATTTCACCCAATTGCATGATACAGAACCTTTGTTGGTTTATGTCTTCTTTGAATGGATTCATCAAACAAACCATTTACCTTTCATTCACGTTCATACAGAGCTGGACATTGCAGTAAGGTACTGTGAATAAGTGGCTGTTCAAATTACTGCCTACGATCATCTGAGACATGCCCACACATTTTGATGCCTTTCTCAATATCTTGTGGATCTCTGCTGCATTTCAAGATGTGGGGTGGTCATAATTTTTTTTATCATTGTTTTCTTCCCTAGGTGTACCGTTCTGTATATTGGCATTTTTTTGTACAATAACTGGGTGAGAATGTAAACGGGGGAAAATCGTGCAGTAGTACTTTTATTTTCATGTGAAGCGAACAGTGAGAAGGTGCTTTACTGTGGTGTACCAACTTGGTCATTGTTAGTTGGCTCATTGAAATGGGATTTTACACGTTACTACAAGAAGTGAAGGCTGTTTATAAAGGGTCAGTTCACACAAATTACAAAAATACATGTTTTCTCACTTATCCCTAGTGGTATCTAGCTATGTGGATACTCTTGGTTTTATTTGCCCAGGTTTCGAGATATCCTTCTGTGAGATTCCACAATACAGTGGGGTTGGACTAACATTTATAGCATAGTAGCTATCCCTTTCATTTTTGTGGGTGTAACCATTCTTTGTGGACAATTTCAATTCAAGATTCCAAATCACCAAATGATAAAGTACCTCAAAGGATAAGTCAGGTGATATTCTATACATTTCTTATATCTTTCTAACAGATTGTAGGTTTGGTACTTTGATGGAATTAGTTGTTCTTCTCAATGGATTTCCAGAAAGCCCTATAATAATAATAATATCTAAAAATATCATTTTAATATAATTGTATCCATTATCCATATCGCTCACTCTTACAATGGGAGTGTAGGCATCCAAAAAACATGAATAGTTTTGCATAATTATTATTATTATTTTTTTTTTAAATTTGGTACTAATCATAAAGGAGATGGAGACCGTGTGCAATTGGTAATTGATGGAGTAATGATTGGTGTAATTGTTTAATCAGTGCTCAGCTGAACATGTAAAAGTACGAAATTTGTCAAAAGGCAAACATGGAGAGTAAAGTTTTGTAAGAATAATTGAATATTGAGTTTAAATGGAGCAGTTGTTCCAAAGAAATTCCTCTGGAAATCAACAGTAATATCCATTGTATTGGACTGGAGGCAGAAATCTCAGACTGATATCCCAAAGCCTGCATAAATAAAACCAAAAATGTTTGCATGGATAGATACCACTAGAGATACAGTAAATGAGATTTTAAAGAAAATTTGACATCTGGGTGAAATGACCTTTTTACCTGCTTTTGCTGCTTGTGACATCATGTAACATCCTCCTCCATTTTGCTAACTAAGAATACAATTTAAGTGTGTACTTGACTTGACATAGTCATGATTCTCACCTGAGGTTCTAGGACAAAAACAAAAAAAAAAGAACTGTTTCTGTGTGAAAACATTTTGCTACAAAAGAATATAAAATATTGATCAATTCCTATGAACCAAACTGGCTCTTCTGTGGTTTTTCTTTTTGCAACATCCTACAAATACACTATTATTGTATGTGCCTTGGATTACATTACTAATTCCATTTTTGGCCCTCATCCTTCTGAGCTTAAAGTCTTACCTGACTGTCCCTACCCACAAAGTACAAAGAAGCTAATGGAGTGTCCTTCCTACCTTGCTGTCTTTGTTTACTGTGGATGAGCCAAGGGTTTTCCTCCTGAGGTCCAGCTGCTGTAATCAGGCCAGTCGCTGCTGACTCACCTCAGCGCTGCCCTTATTACAAATCACCGGTACATGCAGCTCCTGGCCAGAGCCCATAATAAGGCCTTAATTCATATAATCTGTCAGGAAAGGTGCTTACGGCAGCACAGAGTAAATATAATCTCCACAAGGGCCAAGCGTTGCATGATAAGACAGCGATATGCACCTGCTGAATGCTCAGAAGGAACATGACTGCTGGATGTTGAATGTAGAAAGATTGTTATTATCAGGTTTTAGGCGGGCACGATACAAAAGATATTCAAATCAAGTCAAATACACTCATCAAAAAGACAAATAACAGTTGTGTGTTGAAAAGTAATCTGACTGCAACATCAGTTTTGTAAGAGTAACTTTCATAGCAGTGATTGAATCACAATTATCTTGCTTGAAGTGAAAATGCATTTGAAATTACGGTAAGTGCAAAAAGCCACCTGGCAGTATTCTTGTCTGTTTTTCTCTGCAATGGCTGCAATGAAAGCAAACCAAAGTTTATGTTTAAACAACAGGGGGATGTTTTATATTCCTGACAAAAAATTTGCATCAAGGACACAAAATGTTGTTTCAGATTGCCGCAATATTCACAAAGACTAAAGATGTAAAATAGCACAGCCGCAGGTCATCTGATGTACATGCACTGCTAAATAAGACCTGAGATCAGGCTGATTTGACAGTATTTTGCATAACTGCAGGGACATGCAAAGGATGTTAGACTGGTACATGAACAAATTCATAAAAGGGACACCATTAAAGGGATTTTAAAATGTATGCATTTTTAAGAAAATGGTGCAAACACTGCTATATGACAATTAATGAATGATACATGCAAAGAAATGAGTGTGTTTCAGTAAATTCTCCTCACAACCAAACTCTTACCTAGCCCTCTGACTGACATCCTCACTTGCAATAACTCAGCTTAATACTGCTGACAAAAAATTCACTTCCTCTGGCTGCACGGCTTGAGTAACAATGGACAATAAGAAGATGCTGATATTTATGGCTAATATACAATTACTGGTTTATTATAATATTAGATTGTAATATCATAATACTGAGGTCTTGGAAGTTAGCATTTTATACACAATTCTAAACAGCAACACATAAGCTTTAGATAAGGTGTATTAGACACTGGGTTATTTATTTTATTGATTAAAGATTAGGATTTGAACATTCCTCCCTCCAAAACATACTGAAACAATGTGATAAAATGTTTGAAAATCTTTCTATTATCTATATCAATATAAAACTAGATTGGACAGTATATCTATACTTGTTTGGCAACATACCTGATATCTGCCTCAAAGTAGCTCATCACACTGACCGACTCACGCTGACTGTCAAGGGTCTGTGTGTCTGTATACTAGCATTATTTCACCATAGAATGGCTTGGGGCCCACACAGCACTTGCTGCTGCAGCAGGAAGCCAGGAGGGAAGAGGTTAGAGGGCATCACCCAAGAGCACCACTCTCCAAACCTGATATTTTGGTTCAATCAATATATCTGTTCAGCAGGGCAGGCTGCCTGCCAACAGGAATTTATTTATTTTTTTTTTTTAAAAGACAGAAAAAGGGAACTTTCTCTCTAGGAGGCCAAACGGCAGGTGTTCAAACCCCCTTTAAGGTCTATTTATGCATGTGCCAGCATTTCTGGAAAGCAGGTGGGCATGCATCACACAAAATGAAGCCTGTGTGTGAGGAAATACTAATTAGTCTGATGTACAAACAGTAATTTGGCTATACATTTTTTTAATTTTGGTGAAACTTAAACTTTGACTAGAGTGTTTCTGTAAAAAGAAAATTAATATTACGCTACTTAATAAGTATTGATGCTGGTGTTGTGGTGCTGAGTAAAGAGCTCCGGTGAAGTAGCCTAACTTTTTTAATTAGAATCTCAACCTAACTTTAGTCTCTCTCCCTCTGTGTGTCTGACGAAACAATATGGCAAATTTAACACCTTTAATTTGTGTTTACAAATTTACAGGATTAACAGGAATTACGTAAAATACACATTACCTAAGACCCATTTTCAGCTGTGCCGCTTTTACTAGCAAAAACCTCAGTGTGGTCCTTAAGTACATAAGTGCAACTGTAATTGTTGACTGTTTAGCACCAGAAAGGGCCTACAGTGCTTAGCTAATATCCTCTCCAAGAGTCTATGGGTAACTTTATTGACTGTACTGACTAAACTGAATACTGCTCGTGTCTGTATTTGACAAATACAGGGAATGAGAACGGGGTGTGAAATGTGAGAAACTACAGTGGCTGCGAAACGCACTAAAGGCCCTATCTGCAGTCAGTGTTTGGTTTGTCTGCAGTGGCCATGGGTTCGAGTCCGACCTGTAGCCCTTTGCTGCATGTCATTGCCTCTCTCTCCTACTTTCCTGTCTATCTAATCTTCAGCTGTCCTATCCAAAAAGTCAAAAAGACCCGAATAGTGGATTTCAAATTGAAGCAAAAGTTTTGTTTTCTCTTCCAAATTGAAGATAAGGGTCTATAGAACAATTTTGGTCCGAGGGCCAAGAAACCAGATAGAAAGAAAATTGTTTTTTGGCCCATTTTCCAAAATGGCCACAATCGAAATTATGAATTTTTAAAAAAGGTCTTAATTTTCTTAAATTTGCTATGTGATATTATTTTTATTGCTATTTTAAGTTAGTACTGTGTGGGGAATCAACTAGTGTTCAAATATTGAGGTTTTGAATATTAATGGTATGGCAAAAATCAAAGATGGCTGCCAATTTCATATTTTTTTCAAATTATATATATTAATAGCTACAGTATGGCTGCTATGCTGAGGAAGAAATTGTTTTCATTTTAATTCCTAACTTTGTACAATGTCCTGAGTATTGTGAATGAGGGAAGGTGTTTATTATTTATTGTATTTTCTATACAGTATTTTGGTATAATGTGTGTCAAGAAGATTCCATACTCTTACAAAAACTCCATGGCCTTTAGTTATTTATTTTCTTATTTCTTATTTCCTTATTTTCTCTCTTCTACTGCTTAGATGTGATTGTTAAGTTCATTAATCTGTGTGTCTCATTTGCAAAGTCCATTCAGTCCATGCAGGAAGAGTGAATAAATGCCTGAAGAATACAGTACTTTTTTTTAGTTACTGCTGACTAACCCAACCCTAACAGAGAAAAAATAAAAATAGAAAACAGGTATTTTATGAGATGGCAGGGCCAACGATATGGCAGTTGTGCATTCTGTGCCAAAAACAAACGGATGAAAAACTTGTTTGCCCTCTTGCGAATCCAGTTGCCAGTCGTAGAGAGGGAGCATGCACTGAAATCAGCCTTGCACGTCAGTTCAGAGCAATTGGTGCTGCTCCCCACCCAGATGTTGAACTTCCAGATGAAGAATCCATGCAGTAGAACCGCGCATCCTGGCACAAAACATGTTGTAAGCTATACAGGCCAACAGCACTTGACAATGCAAAACAAGAAGGATCATCCTTAACCCTAACCCATAGTCGCAATTGCTACACAGGATTCAACCGCCGTTACAATGCGATGTGTAAACAAGACACAGCTTGTGAAAACCTTGGAGTCACAGCAGAAAATTAATTGCTCCAATTCATACAAGAAGAAATTGCTGGAGGTCACAGAATCTTTGCATTACAAGATCTGACAGAAATGATGACAGAGAGATTGGAGTAACATGGAATCCAGAAGACCGTGAACCGGACACGCCTAAAGGAAACAGTCCTCAAACACTTTCCGGATTTGACAGAAGAGAAAGGTACCCGTGACCAAGTTTTCATCGTTTGTTCAAAGACTGCTAGGAAGATCATATCAGATGCATCTCAAACACCAGATGAGGAAGCACATACATTACTTATGGCAGCATCCATTCTCAGAAAAGCCGTTTTGAATCATGACACTCCATTCAGGTTTGATGGTTCATTTCCCAAAGGCTGCGAAGAATCATCTGTTCCACAGCGTAGGAAGTATTTCTTCCGTCATCTCCTTGCAGGAGCCAAATCATCACCTGAACAAGAGAATTCCCAGGAGATCCTCTCTGTGAGTCAGGTGGCCATGCTAAATATGACTTCTCTTTCCTTGAATTTGAATTGTGAGCCTCCACTTGCAGTGTTCCTGGCCCTTGAATGGCATTCGCAAACAAGAAGCAAGAAGTTGGTTGAACTTTTACACAAATATAATCTGAGCGTGTCATATAAGAAGGTCCTCAGCATTGAATCTAGCTTTGCACAGGCTATTGCACATCAAACAAGGAAACGGGCGGGTACAGTCTGTCCTACAAATTTGCGTCAGCGCATATTTACAGTTGCAGCCCTGGATAACCTGGATCATAATCCCATATCACGTACTGCAACCTCATCCTTCCACGGAACTGGCATTTCACTTTTTCAGTTTCCTACAACACAGAAGCCTGGGTTGGACCAAGAATGTATACAAATCAACTCACAGAAAACAGAAGCAGGCAGCAGTGGACCAATCGTGCCTCGCTCGTATACATTTGTACCTCCTGTGGGCCGAAATCTAGTCACCCAACCTCAGGTCAAACTTTTGCAGCCAGTGGCAACTTTTTCATTTGATGTGGAGGAACAGAATGAACAGGAATGCATTAATTAATTAAATTATTCATTCAGGTCCATGATGCCTGTCCCCCAACCCCACTGATCATGGATGGAAGGAAGAGGATGGCAAGCTGCTTCCCATTTGGACCACGCTGCCCCTTGCCAAAGATGTATTGAATCTGGATGTGAAGTGCACTTGTA